CATAAAACTCCAATGATCTATGATTAATAAAATGCCTGAATTTGTTACCTGATATATATATGACAAATATGAATGATATAGTTAAATGTAGTTGGATTAAATTAATAACTCTTTTTTTTCAATTATTGTTATCATTACGTGCTGCAAAAAGAATGGTACATGAATTCTAAAATTGATTTCAGAGAATCGGAGGATTTTAGATTATTACATGTAAAAATCATGAAATTATTTAGTAGGCTTTAGAGAATTCCTTTTTTAAAAAAAATAATCGAATTACATAATCTTCGGAACTTAAGCTACAAACTGATATAATTTTTTGTATAGTTTTTTATAATTAATAGATTCGAGGCATCTGAATATTTCTTAGTAGGTGCTCTACAATACTCGAAGGCGGAACATTTTACCATTATGGTTATCGGACACTCATTAAAGGTACGCGGAAAAAAGAATGCAAAAAGATACTAGTGAATTGATGCAATTTATGATTGAAGAATGGTAGAAAGTTCGCCACCGTTTTTTTCGCAGCACACTGTATGTATATCTTTCAACTTTTATTTCGAGTTTACTGTACATAACAGATATGATAATAAAATATCTGCCTTCTTACTTAAAATAAAATCAGAGATAGATTTTTATTTAAAGTAGTTTTACCAAATCTTGCTGCGCATGCAAGAAGCAATTATTTGAGAAAATATTAACTGTTAATTTGCATTTTAAATAATATAAATAGTGATGGTGTTGTAAGTATTTTCATCGTAATATCATTTTTGAAAAAAAAAAAAAATACTCGTAAATATAATATTTTCTAACAGTTTATAAGGATACCGGCTGCAACTTTTGATGATGGTTGCTACCACCTTTGCGTCATATAAAAATGATTGCAACCACTGGTTGCAACCACCTTTACGACCATTTTGTTTCCTTTTTTGGATTGCGACATGGAACACTAACAGTTTATAACATCTCCTTATTCCTTATATTTATTTATAATTTAATTATTCAATCCCAATTTTATAATTAAATATATATATATATATATATATATTCCTTGAAAATAATGCCTTTATTAACCATTTTTTTATATTACAACATAAATAAATGCTATAAGTATTTATTTTATATTTGAAAAGATAATAATAAATAAACAAGTTTTACGCACGGGGAATGAAAAGTTACATCCGATAAAGAGTAAATTTCCATAATAATAATAATAATAATAACAGTAATAATAATAATAATAATATAATAATAATAATAATAATAGTAATAATAATAATAATAATAATAATAATAGAAAGTCGAAATACCTTTTATAAATATGTATGCTACATCTAAGAATATAATGTTCAGGACAACTTGAAGGTGATAATCCTAATTATAATAATAATAATACTAAATCTGAATGTGTTAATATTACGTTTCGTAAACATTTCGTACGTAATAATTTTTACTCATCAACATCAGGTTTTTTTTATTGCAATTAAGGATACTTGTCGCAATTAAAAAAAAAAAAATGACTATCTATGGTTGCAACAATCAAAAGTGTCTTTAATTACAATATAAAATGTAAGTTTCATTTTCTTGTATCAAAAGAAAAAAATATAATTCAAAATGAAAAACTATATATTATTATTGTTTACTTTAATATTAATGATTTTTCGGGTTATTATCAATTTATTGGTATTAAATATTAAATTGGTAAAAGTATGATTTTTAAACACTATTAATTTTTAAATCCCGGTATTTTTTTAACATCATTCTTCACAAATTCCATGTTTATCAAATTTTATTATTAAAGGTTTGGGTCCTCCCCAATTCTTTATTAGAATATCTAAAGGATAGTTATTACTAATTTTATAAACCCCATAAGCAAAAGTGATTAACTTTAAGTTTTTTTGGTAATGCTTCATTTAACACTGTTAACGCTTTATCACAATCTATTTTACCAGAAAAATAATTATTAAATAATACTTTTTAATTCAATACAATTTTTGAGTATTTCCATTAATTCCTGGTCGAATTCATCCTCGTAAAATATGATTAAATTTTACAATGTTGTGCAATTGATTGAAATATCTTTCCTGTGATAACCATCAACATCCAATTTTTTAAGATTTTTCCATTGATATTAATAAAATCAGACAAGTCTGGTAGAAATGGTTGACAGTTAATACATAACTTCACAGATTCAATCTTTGACAGTGAAATATTTTTCCAACTTTTTATCTTGTTATCAGCATGAGATGGTGTTAATTCTAAAGCCTTTAAGTTTTTAAAAGTTCTAATAATAAATCATTAAAATTATTTCCACCACCATAAGATCTATAAAAAATTATTAATTGTGAATACGTTAATATTGCCTTTTTAATTCATCTGGCAAGTTTTGTCCCGATGTTTGATTTAATAACTAACCATTTAATTTTTGATTTTGTGTTTTTAATTAGCTGTGCCAATTTATATATATGGTTACTTATGTATTGTATTATTAATTATTGAATATTTTTTTACAAATGTTTGCCAATTTATCAAAAAATTCACCACTATAAGAACTATTACAATCTATTTCATAGATTCTGAAAACAATTATCAAATTTATGATGATTAATTAATAAATTACAATCTTTTTCATAAATATTCCGAAAACAACTATATAATTAATACTAAACTTTCTAATACCTGCTGAATGATCTAAAATAAAGTTTCCCAATTTATTTTGTAAAATATTCGATTCTATCAGGTAATTGGGCATTATAGTACAAAACCAGACATAATTGTATAATGGTGTTTCTCCAATAGTTCAAAAGTTAATTCAGTTCTAGTTAAGAAATTCTTATATACTTCCAATAAACAATTAATTAATATTTTTAATGCTGTTAAGAGAATAAAATGGATTTCTCCATAAAATTGGAATATTGGTATTGTGCCATTGTTTGTTGACAAGGATACAGGAATATAACGTTTTATAATCATCTTCAATGTATTTGAATGTTTCGGTTAGAAGTCCAGACGGTAAATTCATTATTTCAAACATTTTTTTAAGAATGTAAATGAAAAGAATAAAATATTTATTTATTATTTCTGTTGTGTGAATTAAAATTTTGGGGTGGGAGTGTTTGGATATGAAACTTTGACGATAATTTGAATTTCACCCTTATTATTATAGGGACCAAAAGGTATCAACGTGGAGAGATTTCGTTCAGTCCATTTAGTACGTACGAAACATTTAACCTTTTTGTGTCCATGGCATTTTTATCTATTCAAAAAAATTATCGCGAAGAAAGAGTCATTTTAATTGGCCAATTGGAACCTATAAAATAAATTATTATTAAAAAAATTTCTTAAGAATAGCTCCGATCCAATGTTAAAAAATGTTCCAACCATCAAAGAACATATTTTCTTTAATCTCTTGGATCATGTTTTTTAAATTACTCCAAGATACCTTGAAGCTTTTTTTGGCGAAAGTTGTCATCGTCTACTCTGCAAAGTTCGCCGCTTAGGCTCTTGATAATAATAAACACATTACAAGACAAAATAGAAGACATTATTTATTTAAAAACAAATTTTCAAACCAAATAACAAAATGATTAATGACGGGAGGGGGTTTTTTTAATTTCGTTGTTAAACAAAACGATTATTAACAATGTAACACCAATAAATAAAGAGATAGTTATCGATAAAAAGAATGACAAATGTTTTATTATTTAATAAAAATTTCAAACCGTAAAACGACTATCAATTAATTACTTTATCTTGCATTTCATGCATCCATCCGATTGATTAGGTCGATCGAATATCTATTACTGTATTCTTACATCCAACCAAGTGTAAGACTTTTCTTAAAGTGTAACAGACACATCTCCGTCACTAATTTTTACTTTCTCGTTGTCGAAATTGAAAAAAACAATCAAGCACATTTTGAAAATGGTACTATTTTAATAAAGGTTCGTACGTTCACTCAATAAATTTGAATTTCGAATTATATTTATTTATTTTTTCCATTTCCATTTCTATTTCGGATTTGAATTTCAAAGCAAAAGAAGTACGATAACCCAACCTCTCTCTCTCTTCTGCCAATAATCCCACCAATGATTTAATGACGTGCAAGTTAGATAATCACGATTTTATGTTTAAAGTCATCAATTAGCAATTGCATGTAATTCAACGTATGATCCGTGAATTACAGCTGAACCTTACTTATTATACATATATACATATTATTTGAAAATGTTTATAATAAAATAAAAATAATCATGAATTTTATTTATTTATAATAATCTTTTATTGAGATATGATGATTATTTCCAAATTTGGACTCGTACAAATGCGTTTGGCACGTGATTTTTGTTTTTGGTCGAGTGGCGCAGAAAGCGGTTAATATTAAATTGAGCAGTTTGTCACGGAGGATGGACGAAACACATATGGCAAAATTACTAGTACTAATCTTGCCACTACGGCTTTTTATATGCAAATTTTTTTAAAAAACCCGTTATTTATTATTATGATAATGATAATTTTAATTACTATTATTAATAATATAGTCCGTTGTGACAATGTTTGACTGTGTATACAAATCAACAGATTTCTAATCCCCAGTTGAGAAAGAGAAGAACAGTTTTATCCACAATAAAGTCACAATCATTTGAAAACCACACCGTTTTTTTAAAAAATAATAATGCTAATTATTATTACTTGCATCTTTATTAAGGTTCTTTCTTTGCAACTTGTTACAAATTGCCAAATATAAACACTAATATGTGGAAGACATGTGTGTGCATGTCACTCACGAATGGGGAACTAAATTGAAGAGTTTCACCATTATTGGTATACACCTTAGCTCACGAACAATTGTTGATTCATGTTGGTGCCACAAATTTGTATTATAATGTATAAATAAAAATACAAAGGATTATCATCATTCTATTATATATATGTATATATATATATATATATAAATATTATTAAATAATGTGTAATATTTATTAGAAAAATTTTTGCTGCTGATGTCATTAATTCGTCGAGACCATATAGCAGGACATACTCATGATCGAAGTAGATCAAGTTCAATAGATGGGGAAATAGATTATTCATTGTGGACCCTTGAAAAAGTTTTACAATGGCTTGAGGATAACTCTTTTAGTGAATATAAACAAATCTTTATTGGTAACTATATTTATGCGTTCTTGTAATAACGTTGGTTTAATGATCGAATCTCTGGCATTAAAAAATAATTTTACTTAAAATCAAACATTTGTTTTTAATAATAATAATGACAACAACAATAATAATACAATTAATTATTTTATATTTATATTTATTTATAGACAATAAATTATACGGTGAAGATTTTTTTGCATTACGTGACCTTAGAAAAATTAAACATTTATTAAAAAATGAAACGGAAGGTCGTTATAAATTGATAACGGCTATTAGAAAGATAGGTGAACGGCCTTCATTTTCAGATAAGGTTTGTGACAAAATAAATTTTTTTTTCTATTTTAATAACTTTAATAACAAATATAATATAATACAATATATAGAGCTCTCAAGATTTATTAGGAGGTCTTCGTGACACATATGGTTCATTATCTTATTCACCAACAACGCATAATTCATCTCAAACACGCCTTAGTGCACCTAGTTTATTGGAAGCTACAACAAACAAAACGCTTAAATTATCAACTAGTTTTCCTGACTTGCGTAATGCAAACAATCATCAAAACAATCATTCATTTAGTCCTACTATTAATCCAAGGAGTTCTTCGATTGGTTGGGATCATAAAAATTCATCAAATTTAACGATTAATTCATCACCATCGTCATCAACATCAACATTAAATAACGACCATGAATTGCAAAGAAAATTTTCTGCATCTTTAGATAATGAAAAATGGTCAAAACCAACTATATTAACTTCAATCCCATTTTTATCTCAAGATCCACATGATCAATCACCATATCAATATAATAACAATAATGGCTATCTTGATGATAAAACTCCCAGTCCTCCTTCACCGATAAGCAGAAAGTGGAAACCTTTTATTAATCATCCAGCAAATAACGTTGATAATATTAATAATATTAAGTCTAAACCTTCGTTTGTATGTATGATCAATCTATTTATTAAAAATGCTAATTTATTACAACACTAATGATTATCATTATCATTATTATCATTATTATCATTATTATTATTATTAATATTATACTTACCTATTGTTTATTTGTTTTTATCTAGTCTAATGGAATTTCAAATAATTTAGAAGATCCAATATCGTCAGCAACTTCAACACTAAACAATTTTACAAATTTACCCAAGCACAATTTCCAGTTGACATTTGATTTTAAGAATTTTCGTTTAGTTGAATTATCTGGGGATGAACCAAGATCTAAAATAAAAAGAGTAATATTTTCACAATTGGATATTGATCCTAATGATTGTGAGAATTATACATTTCATTTGACTGAACTTGGACAAAAAGAAATCGGTATAATTATTAAAATTTTTGAATCTTTGATTTGACTAATAAATTTAATTAATATACATACATACATATATATAATTTTAGTACCAAGATTAGAGGATAATGATCTAATTCACAAATGTTTGAATATCATTCTTTACCAATCATGGCTAGCCAAAATGAACTCAGAGCTAATTCATCACCGTCTAGTTTTTATACAAGTGGTAAATATTTTTCAGGTGGTTTTAATCCAACACTCCAAGAAGGTTGGAAAAGTACAGAAGAGTTTAGCCCAATTACTGCAGAACCATCAGATATTAAATATGATCTACAAGACATAAAGTTTCCAATGCCAATGCCGATACCAAACTATGGTAATAATGATAATAGTAACTACAACAATAACGATGATAATAATGATTTCCACCATAACTATAATCAAAATCAAAATGAAGAAGATGAAAATTATAAGGGCGTCTGGATGGTTAAACCCATTCCTTCAAAAAATAAACATATTCATAATCACGGAGATTGCGATAATATTATTAGGCATGAATTAGTTGATACCATAGAAAATAATAATAATACTTTATCACTACCTGAGAGTATTAAAATTAACAGTTATGATGGTGATGATGATGACGACGACGATGACGATGATCTTTGGGCGGTTAAACCTGCCCCGTCACCTTTACCGACGGATGTTAATAATGTTAGCAAAAATGATATTTTTAATATTTTTGATAATAAAAACAGTAGCAACAGCAACAGCAACAGCAACAACAACAACAACAACAACAACAACAACAACTACAATAAAAATAATGGACAATCTGATAATATCGTTAGACATGAACTAGTTGACACTATAGAAAATGTTAGTAATACTAGTACTTTGATAATCGAAAACAACAACAACAATTATAAAGACAACAAAATTGCTACGGAAAGACATAATAACGTTGTCGATTCTACAGAAAATAATAGTAACCATTCCAATCCTAATGATGGTGATGGTAATAATAATAACAATGCTTCGGAAACTTCTAACATAAATGATAATAATAGTAATAATAATAATGACGATAGTAGTAATGGTAATGGTAGCAATAGTAATGGTAGGGCTAATAGAGAAAAAAAATTTTCGGATTCATCAAAAGGTGGTGGTAAACTTGCACGGGCTGTTTCATTACGTAGAGGTGTAGAATCGTGGATTGTAAGGCCGACCACTGAAGATGTATTGGAGAACCTCGAACAATTTTTTCCTGGACATGATCTTGATAAACCGATAACAGAAACACCTGGGACACCCGTAACACCTGTAACACCTGCACCTCCACAAAATGCAAGTCAACAAGAAGAAATTTCACCGTCATCTAAAGTAATAACAGAAAAAAGTAATGGCAATAATGGTGATG